TTCTTGCACAAACTCTTTCTTATCATATAAACACAATTCTTATGTCTATTGATTCCAATGAAATTGAATAGATTATTGCATAAAAACTTGTCTTTCCCTTTTCAATTATCAATATTGCAGAATAAGATTTGATTAGTGATGTCTTGAAAATAACCAACACCACTCTACGCTATTACATACCCAACTACACTACAGCATGTGCATTGCACGTGCTTCTCACTAGTATTATTGCAAACGAGACATCATTATAATTAATATCCATTTTAGTCATTGCATACAACATAATGATAAATTAGCTTTGTTTACCAAACATTAAAATGTTAACTTTGAAACATGCAACAATGTTGAAACAAAAATTTACCATATACTTAATCGGTTATTCCTACATTTGATTCTTTATTTAGTATATCAAAGAGTGATTATTATCTTTGTTGACGTCAAAAACTGATTAGATCGTTTATTGATAACTTAGTTGATAATTTGTAAGAAGTAAAATACTGGAATAATAAAAGAGAAGAGTTTTTGTATTTGTTGAGTAGTTTTAAAGTGGTTAAAAGATAATGCATTGAGTTCCGTCATTTGGGGGGACCATTATATTAGTATTTATAAGCTTTCGTTCGGCAACTTGGCCTCCCTATGTCCCATCAGCTACATTGATGTTCTTGAAATGAGTGTCATTATCCAAACTTTGGATAATCTTAATTGGTTGTTAAGGTCGGTTAGAATGGTCATGATTATGCCGGGGTGGTGGGTAATAATTACTAGCTGGCTATTGGTTGAAATTAGGGTGCAACTATTATTACACGCCACTTGTCGATTCTTGGTTGGTTGCTTGTGCGGTGATGAAGTCATGTGGGGGTCATAGAGAACAATGATTATGTTTGCAAGGTTGATTGTGGCATATGGGCGAGCTAACCTGCTTTCCAAAAGTTGAGCTGGAGCTTCTTCATTCGTATTGCCACATCAGCTCAAGCCTCAACAATCTTAAAAGCACATTAACACCAGAACCAAACCTAGATTCTCAACATGACAAATATTTTAGAATTACTCGAGACAAATCAGTATTCATCTAGTATGATATTTAATAAGAGATATCACTATGAACTTTATTTGGTTTTATAACGTACTTAGCCACAAATACGAAAAAACAACATTTTAACTAATGCTGCACAAAAAAATCTCAGAATCACAAATTGAACCAAACTAGTTGGTTTGAAATCGTTGGTTTGAGTTCATGTGAACCCACGATTTTTCTTCCTTGAAATGGTTTGGTTTAGGTTACGATTTTCAAAAATCGCACAAAATCAAACTGAACCGTTTTTTATTAAAAAAATAATTTTATTAAATCATAAATTTTTATAATTTTCACTTTTTAGAAAAAAAAATACCAATTTAGCAATATAAATTACAACTAGCCCATTGTAATAATTATATAAAGTAAATTAGGTTCACCATTAGTGACCCATGGTTTTACAAACCAACTACACATGTCCTGACATGATATCTAAATTAAACTAAAATTGCCTCCAAATCTTATGAAATGGACAAAAAATATATGTATTTTCAACAATTCAAATCATAATTCAACAAAACTACTACATCAAACAATGCCCAAGCCTTAGCCTAAACTTTTATTTCTCAAACATTTTATGCTTGTGTGCCACAGTTGAACGAAATGTGATTTCCAATTTTCGACGCTAATCGCTGTCGCCTTTTGCTTGATAGTGTGCTAATTTCTGCCCGAGTCGCCTATTTCTCTATTCTCTCTCAATTAGTCTTAGATTCTCATTCAAGTCGTTTTCTCCATCGTTCTTTCTCCTTTTTTTTTTTCGTCATTAAGTGTTTATTATTTCTTTCATTGATCATTAAATTTTCATTATTTGTACAATATTCTTTAAGTGTTCATTACTTTTTTTTTCCATTAGGTGTTCATTATTTTCTTTACTCTCGGTTAGATTCATTTCTTTTTTGGGTTGAAGTGTTTGTTTTTTTGAATTTATTATATACTTGTGAGTTGTAATTCGAAAAATGGCCGTTTGTGTGCCTAGGTCAAATGAACTTGAAATGTTTACCTTTTTGTTCATATTTCGAATTTCAGACAAATATGAATGTAATTTAACATTTAACAACTTCAAATATTTGTCTTCTTGTTTATATTTTGAATTCCAGGCAAATATGAATGTAATTTAAAATTTTAAAATTATTCATTTTCATTTAATCTTATATATTAACTTGTTTTAAATAAATTACTATAATGTCGATAGATAAACTGGGATTAAAATCAAATTAAACCGCAAATAATAGTTTGATTTGAAAAATAAAATGATTTGGTCTAGTTTGAAAAAAATTCCGAACCGTGTAAAATGGTTGGAATGAAAACATGGCACAAATCGAACCGTTTTCACCCATAATTCTATGTGACTGTCCAAATGCCATATTTTCCAAACTTCATTTATTTGTTTAGTTTGCTATTTAATTATTTATATATTATTTTGTTATTATTTTGCAAAATATGTTCTTGTGCATTAGTTTCTCCAACAATTATCACTTCCTAATAATTTAAAAGAAATTGTGAATTTACATGGTCCAATGATAAAATGTCGAGTGACATTATCATTATGTCAAACTTTCTTTTCATATAGCATGATTGAATTTTATTAGAGGAAATTAAAACATTTTTTTAACAAAAAATTAAGAACCTTAAATACTATTGACATTAAAAAAACTTTCAATTCTTAAATATATTAATTAGAGAATCTTGAAAATTATTTGTACTTTGATTTGCCAATCAAGAAACCAAAATATAAAGCATGGGACATGCAGGGACTCCTATTTCGGAATAATTAAGGATCCATAGAACCGTCTATTTCGTTAGATTCCCATTGGTTTTGCTTCATTTTTCTGATTTTCCGTTGAAAACCAGTGTGCGCCTACAGAAAGAATACATACATGTTAACAAGACAGAAAGAAACAAGGCCACCCCTTCTTTATTCTCTCCCTCTCTGATCCAACTTCCTCGTTTTAGGGGACTCCTAATCTTACACAGTTAAGGAATATTAATTATTATTAGTATTTTCCCAAAAAAAGTAATTTTTTTACCAAAATAAGAATTTGTGGAAAACAATGTTCTGAGAATAAAAGCAACAGTGACACCAACGTGGATTTCTTTAACCCTCATTCAGGTAATCAATCAATCCCCTCTTTTGGCTTTTCAACATTGAAAACTTGTCATTATCATATATATATATATATATATTATTATTATTATTATTATTTTTTTTTTTAAGGTTTTCATTTTTCTCTTTTTACGAGGTCATATTTACCTAGTTTTCATGTTCTTTTTTTTACCCTTTGATTAAAGGTATTAATCTGTGACTAAATACTGTGATTTGTTTGATAACAGTCTTTATTTTTGAAAACGTTAACATACTGCAGTGGAGTAATATTATCTGTTTTTAGCTGATGGGATTAATTGGTTTTTAATTTTTTGTTGCACGATTATTTATTTTCTTGAAGCATTGAATGAGAAAATTGGAACTGATTATTTGAATCTGGGTTTTTGTAAGGTCATATTTCGTTGAAGTTTTTGCAGTTACTACATGGGTTTTATTTAGTTTTTAAAAATTGTTTAAAAGTTTTGAAGTCTTATATTGATTTGTATTGTATTGTTTGATCATGTATCATTGGTCAGAACGAGTTGATAGGATCCCTTTTCATTCGCTCAAGCAGCTACAACAATGTAGATTGCATAATTCATTACAGTCAATAGAACAAATTTACTTGGTACCGATTTTTAAAGATCAAAGTGGTTAGCTTTATTATGCCCTTCATGCATCGTTCTCTATTATTCCTAGGGTTTTTCCGAAGAACAATTTCATGTTTTGAATCAAATACTATGTTTCTTTGATTGTATGTGCAGATCTCATTCATTTCCACCCCTAAAATCATCTTTTATAGCTCTCCGTATTTTAACAAGTTCCTCTATTGTTTTGCGAGTGTTGCTCGTCTCTAATGATGTATTGTTCATATTTTCTACAGCATGTTTATGATCTTTGTTGATTTAGATTGTGATATAGGTTTTGTGATCTTTGTTGATTTAGATTGTTAGATAAGTTTTGAATCTTGATACCAATTGAACTGGAAAGCCATGAGGGCGGTAAGTGGGTATAAGCCCTTACAAAGCGGACAATACGTAAGGTAACGGTTTGAGTATAGAGACTTAGGTCGTTATAATTATGGTTGAACGGAGGCGAGACAAAATTACGTAAAAAAAATAAAAAATAAAATTAGAGTTTTTCGGGTTAGGTTAAAAATTATGGGATAAAATTATGTGAGTTTTCTTTTTCAATGTCAAAAATTAAGGGTCCAGTGGGGGCAATTGCACCCACTGGACCCTTAATGAGTCCTTGCCCCCACTGGACCCTTAATGAGTCCGCCCCTAGGCTTGCAGGATTCAACGCTTCATGGTAGCAAATCATGTTACACTAGTAATTATTTCGTTTCTTCCTTATGTGCCATAAGCAAAAAGAGTTATCTGGTTATGCGCAAGTTCTGCTTATTAGCCCATACTTCTAGAGAGTTTGGTAGATGCCTTCGAATTTTTTATAATTAGAGAGCTTAGGTAGAAACACGCCAAATAAATTCATGCCGACTTTAAATCTTCGAGTGTATCATTGCAAGAGAAAGATCATAACCATGACTTTTCCTTCATATTTCATGTTTGAAGCCTTTGAGATCTTCAATATTGTAATTATTAACAGCGTCTCGATTTATTAAGTGACTTCAGTAAGAGAAATACTCCCATTCACTGCAGATGAATCATGTCTTTACTTATCTGTTATTTTGTATTAATATTAACCCTTTCTTGTGCCGGATTCATTCATTCAATTCAATTCAACTTGACAACAGGACCAACATATTACAAAACGGCTTTTCAAAGATTCTTCAATCAGCAAGAAGTTGAACAGCTCGTATACTCTTCCTGTCAAAAGTGAATAATAATGAGATTGAAGGTATGAAGCTTTATTTGTGTAACATTTTCATTTCTTATCGTATGAGTATTTAGCTAGGAAAATCTATGTTTCTTGCATCTTTACACCTGCAAAATTAAAAGCAAAAATCCTCCATAAATTGGCGGCAAATTATCATATATTTTCTGCAATAATTAGTAATCGAAACAGCTGTATTCATACTTAAGAGTACTAACCATAAAGTTAAGAAAGTCCTTTGAGTTTATGGAAGCTTTGTGTTCTTATGAAGTATAATTTTCATTTCTCATTGTTTCATAAGAACCTAGAGATGTTATTGTACGTATATCTGCTAGTACTTTACAGATGCAAATGGAAGAATAATTCTTTCATAAACATTACACATTAAGAATCCAAGAGAACATAACACTATTTCTCTTGTTCTTGGTTGCCTGTGATGAATAAGATCGCTTGCCTAACATCTATTGACTGAATAGAGGAACAGTGATATTCATTATATGATTCTTGAACGAGTTTTTTATTCACGTTGTTCTGCTTTATTGTGTGCGCGCACACACAAACGCACTAGTGATGATTAACTGTGAGGGAAAAAATTATCTTGTGATATGAACAAATGTCTACTGCAATTTTCTTGCAGGATCATCCTCCCAGAAATGTTCAGAAAAGTAACGTCCACAAGATTCCAGGAAGTCTGCGAAGACAAAAGGTGAGAAGAGCTTTTTGGATCACAGATAATGTTGCCAGCAGTAAATCAGTATTTATTTGGGATATCTCGATGATTGGATTTCCTGCATATGCCTTTATATATATTTGTATTATTTTTTCATCCACTGATTGATATATTAATTTAGTCATGCCTGGTTATTTAACATTTCTCTTACCTGTTATGGCATCTTGTATTAATTTTTAGTTTTTACCCCTTTCTTTTCTTGGAACAGGTATCAGCGAAATGGAATCCCTTTGATTCTTGCAGGCCCATTGTAGAGGAAGCTCCTGTCTTTCATCCAACTGTTGAGGTATTCCTTTTTATCTAATATGGGAATCGAGCTCTACTGGTTTTCTAGCGATGTTTAAGTTTCTTGACATACATTTCTTGTTTAGGAATTTCAAGATACAATTGGTTACATAGAAAGCATACGGCCCATGGCTGAGGCATATGGTATATGTAGAATAGTACCTCCTCCATCGTGGAGTCCACCTTGCCTCCTAAAAGATAAGAATGCATGGAAATGTGCTAAATTTTCTACGCGAATCCAGAAAGTTGACTTACTTCAAAATAGGGAACCGATAAGAAAGAAAAGACATCGAAAGAGAAAACGTAGGAGACAATTTAGTTCTAAGCCAAGGAGACGTGCTCGTACTGAAGTTTCAGAATCAAATGCTGCTTCTGATTCCGAGGAGAAGTTTGGTTTCCAATCAGGATCAGACTTTACACTCGAGGATTTTCAGAAAATTTCTGATGAATTTAAAGAATCTTATTTCAAAATTAACGACAGAAGAGATGGAAGTGTTATCAAGAATGAAGAGGACAGAAGATCGTTGCCATCAGTTGAAGATATTGAAGGTGAGTACTGGCGGATTGTTGAGAAGCCAGAAGATGAAGTGGAGGTATGGAAACGTGATATCATAAGATTGATATACTTCTGAAATTATTATCAGAACTTAGACTTTGTATGTTGACATAGGTATACTATGGAGCTGATTTGGAAACTGGAACCTTCAGGAGTGGATTTCCTAAGGGGTCATCATTATCAACTGACACTGAAATAGATCAATATGTGACATCAGGCTGGAATCTGAATAACCTCCCACGTCTGCCTGGTTCTATATTGCGTTTTGAAGAGTGCGACATCTCTGGGGTGGTTGTACCCTGGCTTTATGTAGGAATGTGCTTCTCTTCATTCTGCTGGGTATGTTAGTTAATCTTCTATAGTTTAAACTCTGAATAAAGTTTTTACCCGTTCTTTTGATATAAGATTGCTATGTTTGTTTGTGTTGGAAGATTCCTATTTAAATATTTACTTGCATAAATGCTACAAACGATACAATTTGTAACTTTTAGTTACAAAGCCTTAGAAAACTTGTTTTGAAATCTCAGAAGAGACTTTGAGCCCAAGGTCGGGAACTTGGAAATGCTTATTTGTTTCTATTCATTTTTATGCTTAATTCGTTCTTTTGTCACTTACTCCATAAAAAAAGTCTCTTTGTTCTTGGAGCTGAAGCAATTGTTTATATTTTGCATATTCATTAAAAGCATGTTGAAGACCATCATCTCTACTCACTGAACTATTTGCACTGGGGTGACCCAAAAGTTTGGTATGGAGTGCCTACAAGTCAAGCCTCTGCACTGGAGGATGCAATGAGAAAGCACTTGCCATATCTGTTTGAAGAACAATCTGACTTACTTCATGAACTGGTAATTTCAATATTTTTAACCTTTTTTGATTAGTCACTTTCTTCTTATGCATGATTTTGAACGAAGTGCATCTGAAGTCAAACACATGGAGATGAAGTCCACTAGGGACGAGCAGCATTTGAAGTAATTTATGTGCACACACATTTTCGTTTTCCTTTGTTTGAAAAATGAAATATTTAGCATCTAATTATTTTTGAGGGAGTTTCCGGTAGTGAAAGTAGTTGCATCACTAAACAAGTTATATGTAGTTTATAAGTCTGACGTATCAGGTTACACTAGGAAATCACTCATGGCTTCTAGGTAGGGTGGACTGTACATTACAGTAGTGGACAGTATTAAACAAAAAAGAAGCTAAAAATATTTTATAGTATTGTTTCAATCCACTCCAGTACCAAAAGTAGGCGTTGTTTTAAAAATAAATATAAAATGAAATATGTTATTCCTCTTAAACTTTTTCTTCGTGTTACAGCAGTAGGTAGACTTGCAATTTATGATACTTAATGCGCTTCAAATTTGGGATTGCATGTGACAGGTCACTCAGTTGTCACCTTCGGTTTTAAAGTCGGAAGGTGTACCAGTGTATCGAGCTGTCCAGCATTCTGGGGAGTTTGTTCTTACCTTTCCAAGAGCTTATCACTCTGGATTTAACTGTGGCTTTAATTGTGCTGAGGCTGTAAATGTGGCGCCTGTCGATTGGTTACAACATGGACAGAATGCAGTGGAGCTCTATAGCGCACAACATCGTAAGACCTCATTATCACACGATAAGTTGCTTTTTTCTGCAGCTCAGGAAGCTGTCAGGTCGCTTTTGGATATCTCAGTTCTAAAGAGAGAAAATCCAGAAAATTTGAGATGGAGAAGTGTCTGTGGGAAGGACGGGATGCTTACCAAGGCAGTCAAGGTGAACTGATGGATATAGAAACCCATAATAAGTTAATTTATATGTTGACCACTACGATAATATTTGCATAATTATACAACACCATCAATGTGTACGTACATGTAATGGTGCATCTACAGACACATTTTTGTTTACTCGTAGGTTGTTATTTATGACATTCGTTTTTACTCTTAAATTACAGACAAGGGTTCATTTAGAGGAGAAAAGAATAGAGAATCTTTCAAAAGTCATGTGCTTTCGGAAGATGGAAAAAGATTTTGATCTGAAAATCGAGAGGGAATGTTTTTCATGCTTCTACGACTTGCACCTATCTGCTGCTTGTTGCAGTTGTTCTTCGGAGCAGTTTGCGTGTCTTAACCATGCAAATCTCATCTGTTCATGTGAACCAAAAAACAGATTTGTCCTTCTCCGCTACACCATGGAGGAGTTGAACACGCTTGTCAAGGCATTGGAACAGAGCATGGATGCTGTAGAGTTATGGGTGTCCAAGGAAATTGGATTGGTTCCATTAACTAGTAATAATGTTGACAACATGATACCTCAAGTGAGAGATGGAGATGGAATTGACTTCCCTGAGAAAATGGATATTCCTAGCAAATTGTCACATGAAATCGAGAACCTGGGTTCTAGTGTACACGATACTCAAAACACGGGAAACGGGGATAAACCTGAATCTCCTAGCCTAGCTGCTGATTCTAAGATAGGGCAGAAATGCCATACTGATAGGAATCTTGATGACTTGTCTGATGACCACAGAATCAGGTCGCAAGAAGCTTTTAATAGCTGTAAAAATGAGATTGTAGATGCTGGTGATATCAATGAATCAGGTATGCAACAAATGAATTTGGATTTACATGCAAAAAGAGAGCCGAATGTATTGCAACTGGGGAGTAATTGTGGTTCAACTGTATCCAATGTTGCTTCAGACAACAGTTTTCCTCCAAAATCAATGAATGCGAGTAGCTGTGTTGAACCTGTTGGAACTAAGCTGCTTGGGATTGATCTTCTTTCTAGTCCACCTTCAGGTGTTCCACTGACAAGCTCATTAAAAACTGAAACTATGGAATTCTTATTTAATGGGATTTATCAGGTCGATCCAGATTCTGAACAGAAGCTAAGCTTCCATGTGGATCCTATAAATTTTGGATCTGTTGTTTATGGAAAGCTGTGGTGCAACAAGGAGGCCATTTTCCCCCGAGGCATGTGGAGTTTTATATTCATACTGAACACTAGATCGTCCAAGCAATGAACTTTTCCCTAATGGTTTTACATTGTATACTATGATGGTTGCAGGATTTAAAAGTTGTGTAAAGTTCTTCAATGTATGCAACCCAATGATTAAGAGTAACTATGTATCTGAAATCCTGGATGCTGGGCTACTTGGACCTGTATTCAACGTATTCTTCTTATATATATAAGCGCACACATCTTCTGTCTTTTCAACAGAACAGAGTGTGCTATATGCAAATACTAACAACAGTTTACTACTTCTTGATTCATTTATAAACTTCAAGAAAATCTCCCACACATCTTTGAAAGTTGGGTGTTCGGGGATCCCTATTTTTACTACCTTCTTTTTCCTTTCAAGAATGTAGGTTAATATATTTTTTTTGATAGGTAAATGCAGGTTAATATATTAACAGAAGTAATCTGACAAAAGAATGCAGAATATTATATTCGACCGATATCATCTATAAAGGATTTTGGAGTATGAAGTATATGCTTAGTGCTTAAATTTGTTTCAGTGAAGAATAAATTGTTCTCAAGTGCTTGCCAGAAATCTCTCTTAATTATGACCTGTGAAAACGTTTCTGACTTCAAGATCCAATATCAGGTAACTTTAGAAGATCATCCGTTCCAAAGTTTTACGAACGTCTCTCTGGAAAAATGCTGGGAAATGGTGCTGCAGAGACTTAATCAAGAAATAGAGACACAAAGATCGTCAGGGAAGCAAGGACTACCACCCTTACTGCCTTCAAGTAGCATCAATGGTCTCAAAATGTTCGGATTTCTTTCTCCGTCCATCGTCCGGGTAAGAACCTTACCTTTAGCTATATTAGCTTTATGTCACTTGTTGCAACTGACTAGTTAGTTGATTAATGCCATCTGTTGTTAGAAGTAAGCAGAGGTAACTTTTTGGTTCCAAACAAGTTTGAATACGTTGTTTTTCTTTTTAAGTTGTACATAGTTGCATCTGCGAGGTTGGTAAAAGTAAGTCCTGGCTAGAAACTCTTCTTACCTTCATCATTGGCTTGGGTAGTTGCCGTTTCTAGATTAAAATAGTAAAGCTGCTGCTTCTTTTTAAAATTTTTTTTTTCTTTTTTATTTATTTTTTTCCTCTGTTCAACCACCTCTGCATACAAATCTCTTGAAAATGCTATTCAATTATTGGGATGACTAGATTCGACTCAAAACCGATCCTATTTTTGACAGGAATTTTGTACAATTTTTCTGTCCTGACTCGTCTCAATTGAATTTTTGGTCCTTTTGACATTATTTCTTGTTTGCATTAGTTTTTCAAATGTTTTATTTCATAGTATTTAATTTATCATCTCATGCTAACAAAAACCCATTCAGGCAATCGAGGCTCTTGATCCGCATCAGCAGTGTATCGAATACTGGAAGAACAAGCTGCTTATGATGCCATCCACTTCAGGAGATTCTCTGGCTGCCACCAAGTACCCTGTGGAAATGAGGCACAGTGAAGGGGAAAAACCACGTAGTTTTGAAATTAATCTGGAACTAGACGACAGAATAGTAGGTAGCAGCAATTCTTTATCTGATGATAAGATACAGTACATATTCCGAAGATTATTGAAGAAAGCTGATTCTCAGGAGATGGAAATAATGCATAGAATGTTATGCAATGGGTTGAGTAGCCCCGAATGGAGAGTAGCACTTGCAACAGCGACAGAGGAGACGGCGAAAGAACACGAAAAAAAAGAGTCTTGACAGCTAACCCTTTTTTTGGATTCTAGATAGCAAAATTCTTTGGTCTATGCCAATTCTTTTCCAAATCGGTATAAACAGGGTGAAATCCCGGCTTGTGTAGTGCAATCTTTTGAAGCACTTCGTGTATTGATGGTATAGATTCTAGTATAGAATTTTGTAAGGCCACCATAGTTAGCTTTTGTACAACATGGCCTTGCTAGTAATGCAATTTCGATACAGAACTTTTGAGCTCTATCGTACATGCACATGCTCAGTCTTTATGCAAAATTTTAAGTTGGTCATTAAAGTTTTTTTATGATCCATTTAGTCACTAAATTTTATAAGGGAAAATTGCGGCCGCGGTCCCAAACCTTTCATTTTGTTGCAGATTACACCCAAACCTTTAATTTTTACAGTCGAAGTCCCAAACCTTTATATGTAATAGCAGCGTCGGTCCCAAACCTTTACTTGTTGCGGTAGAAGTCCCAAATATTTGTACATAATTGCAGCGTCGGTCCCAAACCTTTGTATGTAATTGCAGAGTCGGTCCCAAGCCGTGAATTCCGTCCGTAAAACCGTTAGTCAACGTTGAAACAGTAATTTTGACTCGGAAAAATTACAGCACCGGTCCCAAACCTTTCATTTTGTTGCAGATTACACCCAAACCTTTCATTTTTGC